ATGACATACAAAAAGGATTTCTCTGAACATCCTACTTTCAGGAAAGGTCACGTGATGTGAAGATAGAAAGGTTTTCACCTTTTCAATACACAGCCCCCAACGTCAAGACTTTGTGGATCACTGTGCCTATATAAGTAAGTTTCCATCATCTTCTTCAGTTGACGCATCATTGAAAGAAAAATCTCACAAGCTCTCCAAAACTATTCTCATTCTATTTACTGAGTTTTATTCTTTGTTCTTAAACTTAAGAGAAATATCACAGTTGTGATAAAAGCTTTTTAGAAGCATTCTTACTCTTGTAATAGTTTTACATAGATTGTAAAAGGTTTCCTTAAGAGGATCCAGTTAGAATCAGTAGCTCTTGAGAAGACTAAGAACGGTTGTTCTTAGGTGTTACTATTGTAATCTGTTTGATTAAATAGTGGATTAAGTCCTTGACTGAGAAAGGAAAATCACTCTTGAGAGGGTGGACTGGAGTAGTTGAGTTCAACGAACCAGGATAAAAATAATTGTGTTTGAATCTTTGATTATTTGTCATACTTATTCAACCCCCCCTTCTAAGTATTTTCTCACCTTCAAGACCGAGATGGAGTTTGTGTTCTAGATGTTGTTGAATGGAGTAAGAGTACTCTTGAAGAAGTACCTTGAAGAAGATGGAGTACCCATCCAGGTGCTATGAGGATGTGACCGAATTTAATGGAATTGTTTTGGTGGCCATAGATAGAGATAGCAGTGGTTGAGGTTGTACATGCTGATTAGACTTGTTGAAAGTCGAAGTTTGAACGTCGGAGACCGTTGGGACTGATGCAACTGTTGAATATTTTTGAGTGGGTTGGGATAGTATTTCCATGGATTTTGTGACGGGTTTTCCGAAAAATTTGAAGGAATATGATTCGATTTGGATGGTTATGAATGGATTGACAAGATTAACTCATTTCCTACCAGTGAGGGTGAATCAGTCTATGCTGGAGCAAGCTGAGATGTGTATTGATGAAGTTGTGAAGTTGTATGAGACGCCGTCGAATATTGTGTCTGATGGGAATCTGAGTTCTTCATTGAGATTTTGGGAGAGTTTCGCAGACGCTTTGAACGTCATATCGAAGTTGGATTCTTTCTAGCATCCGTGGACGGATGGACAGACAAAGAGAACTATCTAGTATGTGGAGGATTTGTTGAGAGCTTGTATGTTGGATCAAGGTGGATCATGGGATGGTTAATTGTCGCTGATTGAGTTTACCTACAATGACTGTTTTCATTCTAAGTATCGGAATGGTATCGTATGAGGCTTTGTATGGTAGGAGGTGTAGGACTCCTTTGTGTTAATGAGTGTCCGGCAAGAGTGTCGTACTCGGACATGAGATTGTATAAGAGACGACTGAAAAGATCAAACAGCTAGACCTAATCGTTCGGAAGGTTTGACGATGAGTAGTGCAGTAGTGCACGGGATGAATTATTATATGGCAGAATTAAAGTACGACAAATAAGGGAAGCGGTATAGAAAAAGTGTGGCGCGACGATCACTCACATAAATTACAACCAATGGAAAAAAATGCAAAATAAAGACGGAATCACGTGTGACAATTACCTCGCATAATTACAACCGAAAAAATTGAACAGTAACAGATTAATAACGATACAACTGAGAAGTAAAAAAGTCGGCAAGAATTAATTCGAGGCTGACTGAAGAAACTATACCGAGAGTTTATTTTGAAAGGTTGACTCCTCGATTTATTAACAAGTTCCTAATTTGAGGAAGATTCTAAATTACTTTGAAAACCTTAATTATGAAAACACTTTAGTTAAATAAAGTGGTTCTTTAACTATTAAAAAAGAAGTTTCAATAAAATGGTTTTTTTTTAATATTAAAAAAAAAAGTTTTAATTTTAGGTGTGTTAAATTTAAAAAGAAAACAAGATTTAATAAAGAACATTAAATGATAAAAAAAAATTACTTAGAAGAAATGGTTTTGTTTGTTTTATATTTACATTCTTTACTAACTTATAATTTCTTACATTTTGAGGACTTAATTGAAACAGAATTTGACAAAGTAATTAAAAAGAAAAAATAAGGATAGAGAGCACAGACCCACGTAAAGTAGAACCCAAAAGGGTTAGCTAGGGTTTCACTTTGTTAAATTCCTCTTCTCCCCAACTCGCCGGAGGCGCGGGTCTCTCCTTCATCTTCTTCGAAACTTTCTTCTTATCTTCTTCCATGACTCTTCCCCTCTTCTCTGCTTGTATCCACCTGTTACAGACACAACTCAAATGGCTTAAAAATGAAGAAGAAAAAAACTCACCGACCTTTGTGGGTGTTCCGGCCGATGGTTTGATTCCCCTTCTTCGCGGTGGTGACGAGGTCCTTTCTGAAGGTGAAGATGGTAGTCCGTTTGCGATTTATCCGGCCGATGATGAGTCTTCTGAGGCCGGTTCCGATAGTGATCGTTTGACTCGTGTTCGACCGTCTAGGCTTGAACTCGTGAGGGTTCCGGATTTGGGTTCTTGATGATGGTTTTTGATATTTTTCTCCTATTCTTCTTTTTTTAGGATGATGATGATGAACCTTCAAGGTTCTCTGAATCCCGTTGATGATGATGATAAACCTTCGTGGTTTATCTGAATATGGGTTTTGTCGTTGTGGTTTCCTCTTGGTCCCCTCAGATTTAAACTTTTGATGAGTTTTATAATGTTGTTTTTTTTGAAATTGTGGGCTTGGATCCGATTTAGGTCACGATTTTGGAGGAGGGATTGTTGGCTGGAATTTTTGCGTTTCTGATGATGAAGTTTGTTACATTTTGACTGAAATTAATGGTTGCTGTTTGAACATTCTTGCGTGATAGTTGGGTTGAACTTTTCCAGGAATTTGTTGGCTTTGATCCATGGGCCTTGTGATTTTTGGAGAAACTAATGTTAAGGCTGTGTTTGGAAAAATCACTTTTGAATAAGTGCTTTTTCAAAAAAAGCACTTTTCTGAAAATCACTTTTCTGGAAGAAAAAAAAACTTTTAAACGTAACTTTTTATCTCCCTCTCTCGGTTGCCTTGTTTGAACAGATGTTGCCGATTTTTGCTTTTGACCGGAAATAAAGTCGGGAGTTGGCGACGGAGCAATTTGTTACCCTCCCGACACGCCCGATGATGAAATTGGTTCTGAGGGTGTCGAAAAAAACTAACCGATAAAATTGTCGCTTTTGTTCATTTTGCAGATTCGAAGAAATAATCGGAAGCTCGAAGATTGGAGACTCGAAAAATAAAAGGAAATTGAAAAGAGCTTTAGGAATTTTTTTAGAAAAAAAATATATTTTTATTATTTTTTGTAAATTTAATCATTTATTTTGGGCATGGTAAAGAAATTTATTTTTTATATAATAAAATTACTCCATTTAGATTAAATGGAATAATATTATTATCATTATTTTTATTTTGATATAAAATGAAATGAAAATTCAATATTAAAAATGAAATAAAATCAATTTAACAATGAAATGAGAACAAAAATTTAAAAATGTAATAAAATTTGATTTCAAAATGAAATGAAAATAAAATTAAAAAATACAATAAAATTGATTTAAAAAATGAAATGTGATTGATTTAAAAACGAAATTAATTTAAAATATGAAATAAGATTGATTTAAAAATGAGACGAAAACACCACTAAAATTTTATTATTTTTGATTTTAAAATGAGACGAAAACACCACTAAAATTCTATTTCTTTCATTAATTTCATATTCATCCAATTTATCCGATTAATCTCGTCTCCAATACAACTTTCGATTAAACTTCCGGCAATTTAAATGAACAACCTTGTCAGAATAAATCCAATTCGTCCGATTAAAACTCAAATGATCACATTTCCCGATTAACTTCATCCAACTAAATTGAATTGATTTAATTCCAACGGCTCAAATCCTTCACGATTAAATTCCAATTACAACCTCGACCTCGATCCACATCAACAATATCAAATGGCTCAAATTTCTTGACTACAACCCAAAATTCATAAACTGACAGTCGGCTGCAAACAAATGACCGTATTGCCCTTCATAAGCTAAAGAGCGCCCAAATGCGACTTTTCCTGCAAAAATCAATCAACTACACAAACTTGTCAGCGGTTAGTTAAAATGTGATGCAAAATGAAATAGGATGCGAAATGAACCTATTAAATCTCAGGGAAAATTTTGGAGTATTACAGTTATCATCCATTTTTTCTATAATCAAACAAGAAAATGTATATTATAATAAAATAAGCGGATATAACCTACACATGAGCCACTTTTAACAAAAGTGACATATTTTTTCTGTCGTGATCTTGGAGATGACTTCAACTTTTATCCATTTGTGAAATAATCTACCCCAACGATCAAAAACTTTAGTTAACCAAATACTAATGTAAAAAGACCCAAATGTCCATGCCCTATTGATATAACAACCAAGGTGAGTTGACAAAGTGGAAGATTTCAGCGGATGCATGATGCAAATTAGGGTGTTTCTTACATTTATCACATTTCCTAATGAATGTTGTAATATCCTTTATCAAAGTGGATTAATAGTAGTCCTCTCTTAGTAATTTGTGGGTCAAGGCTCGCCCAACAAGGTGACTGCTACAAGCCCCTGATATATATCTAAAAAAAACTTATAATTTCATACTCTCGTAAACATCTCAACATAAAGAAGCTCTTTTCATTTTGTGAAGCTTCCTTAATGATATACTTTACTATATGCTTTCAAATTTCTTAGCTTCTAACTCTTCCGGAGGTAGTTCATAGATAACTTTGAAAAGAAAAAAAATTTCAATGATAAAAAATTAGGAACAAATCTAATATAGTCCTTTTTTTTGGAAGTGGGAAATACATTGAGGGGGTGAGAAGTAGATTCCTCCTTTATAAGTTACCAACCCAGCCCATTAGCATCACTTCACCTTCAATTTTTTTCATCAAAACCACTATTCGAGTCAATTCACAACTCATTTGTAATTGGGATTTGAGAAAGAAAACGAGAGCAAAAATGGTTGTAGAAGACACCCCCAAATCCATCATCACCGACGATCAAATCACAACAAACCCTAATCGGGTTATCGAAGACGACAACAATCTTGAAGAAGGAGAGATCCTCGATGAAGACGATTCCTCCGCCACTTCCAAACCCGTCGTCCACCAACCTCACCTCCTCGAGAATTCTTGGACTTTCTGGTTTGATACCCCTGCAGCAAAATCTAAACAAGCCTCTTGGGGTAGCTCAATGCGTCCCATCTACACTTTCTCCACTGTTGAAGAGTTTTGGAGGTAAAGCTTCAATCTTTTCACTTTTAGGCACTTTTAGGTATTTAGGGTTACACTAAAAAATTGTTAATTTATTGTTTCTTGAATGATTTTCTTGGTTTTTCAGCATTTACAATAACATTCATCATCCTGGTAAGTTGGCTGTGGGAGCAGATTTCTATTGCTTCAAGCATAAAATTGAACCTAAATGGGAGGATCCCATTTGCGCTAATGGTGGGAAATGGACTGCGAACTATCAGAAGGGAAAATCTGATACCAGTTGGTTATACACGGTATGATTTTGAATCTGTGTTGAGTGTATTGGTTTTGATTGTTTATTTTTGAAAGATTGGTTATTCTTTTTTTTTCTCTTGATAACTGAAGTTGTTGGCTATGATTGGAGAACAATTTGATCATGGAGATGAAATTTGCGGAGCGGTTGTGAATGTGAGGGGTAGGGCTGAGAAGATTTCTATTTGGACTAAGAATGCTTCCAATGAAGCTGCTCAGGTAATTTCTTGTTTTTTCATTTCCTTCTTCTAGTTGTGTAGGAACTAGATGGTTGCTATGATGTTAATTGGTAATTTTCTAACTTTAAATTTCTTTTTATTGTTATGATGTTAATCGGTAATTTTCTAACTTCTTTATACTTCTTTTGGTTGTTATGATGTTAATCGTTAATTTTCTAACTTCTTTTGGTTGTTATGATGTTAATCATGAAATGTGCATTTGTTATGTGAACCTGAGTGTCACCCCGATGAAAGTCCTTTAGGAGCATATATTCACATTTCACAAGCTTCTTAAATGATTCACATTTTTTGTTGTTTCGATGACTGTATTTTTTGTTTTCATGTTATATCAAATTGTTTTGAGTGAACTACCACTTTTGTCTCTGAAATTAGAGATGCTGGGCAATTTGGTCCTGGTAACTCGCTAAATTTCCTAGTGATCTCTGATATTGAGATACCTCGAGAACATTAGTCCTTTTGGGTCGACCATTTAAGTCCTTAAAGTTATCATGGAGGTGGCTATTGTGATTGAGAATTTAAATATCTGAGATCACTTGGTAGTTTCACTGATTTCAAGGGCCAACTGTCTGGCTGTAGTGTTTTACTAGCTGGAGAGGATGAGTGTGAGATTATACCATATGTTGTGAACTGTGTAGTCAAAGATTGAGTGCTGGATCTTAAGATTGTTAGAACTTACGTTCCAAGGGTGCCTGAGAGTGCTACAATCAATCTTAGAAAAGATTATTTTTGTTGCTAGTGTGGTCAAGATCAAGCTTTTTGAAGCAAGATCGTAAAAAATGTGTTGGAACTGAATTTTAATTTTCATGTTTGTGTATGTTTGTGTGTGTATATATATATATATATATATATATATATATATATATATATATATATATATATATATATATGAAATTGCGTTCCAAGGGTGCCTGAGAGTGCTACAATCAATCTGAGAAAAGATTGTTTTTGTTGCTAGTGTGGTCAAGATCAAGCTTTTTGAAGCAAGATCGTAAAAAATGTGTTGGGACTGAATTTTAATTTTCATGTTTGTGTATTTTTGTGTAAATATATATATATATGAAATTGCTATTTTTTACTTTGATAGGATCTTACATGCCATGATATCGATCCGAGTTTTATGATCTTTCACAAGCTGGCCGATCTTACATTGGTTGTGATAATTCCATTTAGTTCACTTTTGAACTTGCCAAACTAGCTTTCTGTTATGACTTATGATGCCATGAATAATATACCGCATGATTATACCCGATGTTGTGGCAATTCCATACAATTTACTCTTCCACTTGCCAAGGTAGCTTTGTGCTGGTGTCTGTTTCAATCTTGTGACTGAACTTCTAGCAACATGAGGAACTTGTAAACTTAATTTTGTTATATTTCAGGTGAGCATTGGAAAACAGTGGAAGGAGTTTCTTGATTATAATGAGACCATGGGCTTTATATTTCATGTAAGTAGAACTAACTTTGTGCTTTCTTATTTGTGGCACACTATCTTAAGTCAGCCTAACTGTTGTTTTTGCAGGATGATGCAAGGAAGCTCGACAGAAATGCTAAAAACAAATATGTTGTCTGAACTGTATAGCTTTCTTTTACATGGCAGCAAACTAGCAATTGCATGAGATGCATGCATCTCCGATATTCAACATGTTGCTTAATGCTTTCTAAGCCCTTTAAATCTTGTCTTGAGTAGTATTTTCAGATTTGTGTACGGATAATCTTTGACTGTAGACGATGTTTCATCAATAATAGAGTGACTTGGGGTTGCTTTTTTTGATTGAATAGAGACAGATTCATACATCCTAGCGTTTGAATATCTGCTAGACTTTTTCTTTTACTTGCTGGTAAGTTTTGGAAATTGCAAACTCGTGAGTGAAGATTTGGATTAAATACCCACCTCTACTCTGGCGATTTGTTTGTTGTGGAAATTACCTAACTTGTAGAAACTAGTTTCTTCGTTCAAGTGCATTTTTATTGAGTCTTGTTCACCTATGAAAGCTTCAACTTTGTTTTGCAAAGAACACCTAAATACTATTCTAAGTCTAGCAAGCGCATGCTTTGTAGCTAAAATTCATCTAAACACATTATCCAATTTTTTACAATTTTAGATTTTATTGAATCAGCTAGCAATTTTTATTTGAATAATAAGATTGAATTTAAACACCTAAATACTATTCTCTTTATGGAGTTCTACCCTTGAAGGATAAAATATATATTTAAAGATTATTTTGTTCATCACTAGCATAAATATTGAGAATGAAGAGCACAAACACAATAATTTGGTTTTAAGCATAATCTTAACATTTTTACATAACAGACAACACTAAGTCTACCGTGCTTTCTAAGTTTGCAGGAGGATTCCTCCATGTAGATCCCATCAGGACTTTTTTTATATTCCAATCATAGGGCACACATGATCAAAGACCTGGTTACAATTATTGTATGATTCATTTTTAGAGGATATATAAACAATCAATACTGGCAGAACAAAGGTTTGTCAAAAAATTTCCCCTTCCTCCCAGCCCCCTGCTCCTCCGTTCAGAACCTCCTCATCTTCATCTGCGACATAATCATCCTTGATAAATAAACCGAGTCGCTCCAACGGGTTCTCAAACTGAAGTTTATCCAATCTCCCCATTGCAGTTCTGTAGCCATTTCTACCGCCCAGTGCTTTATAAGATAGCGTACAGCCACTCAAACTCTCTAGCTCTTTCACAACCTCCAAATTATGTTCAATGTCAACAGATCTTTTCATCTACAAAAGACAAACCGAGTGAATATTCATTTTGCTAATATACAGAATGAGTTGCAAAATATATATAATATAAGACAAGAATATAACCATTTCTATTGCAGCTCGTGCAGCTTCTCTTTCCTTTTCTATCTGTTGCCTTGTCTCTTCTTCCGCCCTCATTCTTGCAGCTGCTTCAGCAGTTTTAATTTGGGCTTCTATCCTTACTTGCTCTGTTACATGCAGCATATCATGAAGGGGGATAATCATAAACAAATTCAACTCAATTCTCACCATCTCAACATAAAAAAATAACTTAACAAGAATCTAAAAACACTGCAAAAAAGTGCACATCAAATTATATTTCGACCAATCCAGAATCACGTAATACTCCGTCTTACAGTTAATGTTACATTTATAAAAAATAATTGTATCAAAATGAAAGACATTTTTTTTCTTTTTCAAATGAATATTAATTATTTATTCCAATTGTACCATCTAATATTCCACTTCGTATGTATTATAATTGTGAATACACCAAAGCGCAACAAGGATAATTTGAAAAAATTACCGATATTCTCTCTGAAACACAAATGTGACAGTTTTTATGGAACAGAGAGTGCTTCAGTATATCTATTTGCAAAAACTCGGTTTATTGAGAAACACCGAGAGAGTGGTTTACACAATAGATAGCACCTTGTAATACACATCACAGATAAAATGCATGAAGTGCATGTTTTTCATGCATGTTTTTATTGAGATTAAGAAAATTGGAAAAATGACACGGAGACAAGTAATGCATATGATGAGCACTCAAGTTCAAAGAAGTACACATTTTCTATCAAATTAAATTGCCTTCCAAGTAATAGATAATATTCACCTTCCCGTTGTAACCTTTCCAGTCTCTCCTTTTCAAGCTGCATTTTCAGAGGATCACCTTTATCACACTGAAATGTGCAATGAAAAATATATTAGTAAACCACACTACTTAACAAAAATAGCATTCTGTTAAGGAAAGTGTAGAGAGAAAGCCATACATGTTCGAGAAGAGTCTTTTGTTGTGCTTTCAATATGGTATCTGCAAAGCGACTTTTGAGCATAGCAGCACGGAGAGCCTTTTTAGGTGAAAGCTGGACAGGAAGAACAGTGGTGCTCCATACTAAAACATAAAATGTATTAATACATCACTATCAGACCTCATCACAAAAAATAAAATTTAATCGAGGCTTTCTAGACAGAAAAACTGACCATCACCAGAAGAGGCGTCAGTAGCAAGAGTTGTATGCTGAGAACTAGGACATGCGTGTTCACTATCTAAAGAACTTACAGCCCCTTTACATAATATGAACATTAAGTATACCATATCAGCAGTAACGTAAGCGGGTAGAACATAATATTTTACAAATCATAATTCTTCTCACCATCAGAACCAGGATCAGATTTCCTCTGCAAAGGTGATGTACACTTAGTCTTGCAGTCCTGAAAGATATAAACTCTTATTAGACTTGAAAGTAACAGGAATGTCTTAAAGTTACAACTATTTTGCTAATGGTATGGTATTAAAACCTGTCTCAAAGCAGTAGCACTACATGCTGGCTCCCTATCTTCAAATCCTTCAGATAACACAACAAAGTCAAATCACAAATATAAGTTAATCAGGCAACCAATAACACACTAAGCATATACAAACACAAGATTGTCTAATTAGTTGATGGCCCAGTAGTTAAAATTGCTAGAAATGACACAACAGCATGTGATATCACAATAAATAATTCACTTGCATGCAACAAGACTCAATGAAAGACAGGCTTTTCTAAATAGATCTAGAACCAGAGAGCTGTTCTTAATCATGATTACATTTTCTGCCTATGGAATACATAACTATTAGCTCTTCGACATAACCATATACCCATACAGTGCCCTTAATGCATCATACCTTTAATCAAGTCCTTCTGAAGTGGTTTGCAAGGAATCTGCAATAATTTAGGTACCTCCACCTACGTGCAAAGCATTGTCAATATAGATCTATCAAAAATAAATAAAAGAAAAGAAAGTTTCATCTCACAATAAGGTGACTGGATAACAAAGTTGGCAGAAGCATAAATCTTATATCGATTCATGTAAATATATTGCATTGTTGCATATTTAAATAAGGCTTTTCTCCTCACAAAATACAACACTTACTTTAGCATCTCTTGGTGTCAATGAACTAATCTTATGAATTTCTTTGTGTTCAAATGCTCGGGACCTTTTGGTCAAGGAAACCTTATGCCGGGATTGTGTACCAATACAACTTTTTCTAGTTTCTTTAATTATTCCAGTCTCACTTTTCCCAAGCTCATCTTCACAATTCCATTTTTTATCCATATCTTTCCATTTTCTGTCAAATAATTTGTTAAGCTCCTTTGCCATCAAATGAACATCATTCTTTGGAGGATTATATGTCATGGCATTTGAAAAGGTCAATCTGACATCAGCTGCAAACTCCTCTTTGTTATGATAAATATTTTTCTCCAGCTTGGATTTAATTGTGCCTAAATCCATGGGATGAGATATGACCGTAAAATAATCTGGAATGTTCAACGCTACAGGATCCACTGGCACCTTAAACACCCAGCTATAGTGATGAGATGTTAAGCATTTGAGTATTGCAGCACACATCTGAGACCCTTTCCGATCAATCTTCTGCCTTTTATTCTTTGGACCCTCGATATTCCCAGATGGTTCCCTTTTCTTGGAATATAGCAGTGAGGACTTTTTGATAGGATTACATGGTCTATTTGCATCAAGTTGAGACACTTTCTCTCCAAACTGACATTTTGGCTCAGAAACAACTTCTATCCGTTTGGTGGAGAATTTGATCTTCAACTTTGTAGTTGGTGCAATAGTCTCCGTGGCAATCATGGTGATATAAACGGTGAGTGCGAGGACACTCTCCAAATTTCCAAGTTCTCAAAAGTCAGACGACTTTAACTCCTTTGACACAAAGGCATCAAGGAAACTATCAGTCCATACGAAAACAGATCACCTGGACAGCCTGAATAAACACATCAAAAAGACAAAAGCCACCAGTAATTTCAAATCAAAATACTTAAACTCTCTCAAACGATATTGAAAAATAACCTTCCAAAGTTACTTGAGTAAATTGTTATTGGGTTTAATTCGTAAACACAATCGCACAAATTTTTTTCAATCATAATCTTCAAATCAGTACAAAGACTTGACTCTAATCATAATATTTTCGAAAAATTCAAAATTGGAGAGAAATCCACCCACCCAATAACGATATGATGCAATACACGAAACCGCAAAGCATTATAACCGACAAATCTCATTAGATCAAGCAATCAAAAAAAGTTTAAAACCACCTCAATTTCACATCAAAATAAAAAATTGGAGAGAAATTCACCCATACCCGGTTTCAAATCGAACAAGAAATAACCAATAAGACAAAAGAAACAAGAAACCAAATAACAAAAAAATCTACAAAAACAAAACAGAAAGAACGGAAATTCGAGAGATGGAGAAGAATTAGGGTTTAAAAAGGAAGTACCTTAACTGAACCAGAGATGAGGGGCTGCGCAGCCCTAATCGAACATCGACGGAAAGAGGAAGAAGAGAAACGGCAGCACTGCGATTTAGGGTTTTTAGTTATCTATACACACTACGCGTGAGTGAGATTGACTTTTGGGAATTTTTGTTATGAGACTGATACTTTTGGTTTTTCTGATTTGGGCTCAACCAACTTATAGTGTGGTGTTTTTTAGGGTAAAAATAAAAAGGCTATTTATTTGGGTTTGATGATTGAATTACAAATGATGTGAATCATAGAATTTTTGGAAAATATTGAGAATTTTCTTTTAAAATAACCAATTTTTTTAAATTTAATACCAAACAAAATAATAATTCAAAAAATTATTATAAGATTTAATGATGATATAGTTTTCTTTTAATAATTTGTATATATTTTATAAATTAATAAATATATTTGTGATATAGTTTTAAAATATATTTAATTGATTTAAGTTTAAATATATTTAAAATAATAAATATATTTGTGATATAGTTTTAAAATATATTTTGAATATATTCGTGATTTAAAATAAAAATTGATTTAAATAATAAATAAAGTTTTTAAATTATAAATATATTTAAAATTATAAATTATAAATAAATTTAAATAAAAAAATAATAATTGATTTAAATATAATTTTTAAATTTTGTGGTATAGTTTTATAAAATAATAAATATATTTGTATATAATTTTTAAACATAATAAATATAAATAGGTTTAAATTTTAAAACATAATTCGTATATAATTAAATATATAATTTTAAAATATATAATTATAGGCCACCTTTGAAATTGGATATTTTTATATCTTAAGTTGAAAATTTTTGGTATTTGTTGAAAAAAAACCATATAAATTTTGTAAGGGTATTTAAGGCATATCATATGGCGTATGTACTATTTAATTTTAATATAAATACGACTGCAAAAGCATATATTTTTCCATAACATTTTATACCAAAAGACTGAAGTCTTAATAACTTTAAGCGGAATGGAGTCTAGAATGTCTGTATTTCTAAATCAACGTTCTTCGTCATCGTCATCAGCATCGGAGGAACCGTTTCCAATATTTCCTCTAATGAAAAGAAATGCCCTAGTTTATTTTTCAGCAACAAAGCCTTTGATGAAGGTGCTCCTGTGGAATACGCAGACATTGGAGCATTTGCATAGGGCATTGAACCGCTGGCTAGAAGGAGATATTTCCCTAGGTGAAAAGATTAGAAAAATTAAGAGGTTGGTCGAGGAGGCAGGGAGAAACGGAGTTAGCCGTGAATGGAGGAAAGTGGAAAATAATGTTGGTGTCCTTATGATGATGTTAACACCCAAGAAGATAACGTTGATGGTTGTGATATCGTAGACACCTTGATGCATTGTTTTGTTTTATGTTGTTGTTATTTTTGAAATGTTGTTGTGATATTAAGTTATGTTTGTTTAATTTATGTTGTTTGCTAATTGTAATCGGTTACGTATGCTTTAAATGGAATGAAATTTGCTATTGATTTAAAGGGACATTGTTACATATGAAACTATGATCTTGTGCTTGATTATACGTTAGGACATTTTGTACGATTGTGTCCTGGTTGCCGACACGAACTACACAATCTTACCATCTTGTTTGTGGTATCCATCTCTATTCGAATGCGCGTGTTGTTAGCCTTTTTCTTTCTTCGCATCAAATCATTATACAAGACAATTTCGCCTTCGTATTGAAGCCAATAGTCATCCTTTGCCACCACAGAAAGCTACATGTGTAGACATTGCATAGACTTATCACTTGGTAAACTGCAAAAAGAAGGTTGGCTGGGTCCTAGTGCACCTTCGAACATGTTGTTATAACATGAGAGCAAGGCATACGAAATGCCTGAAACTTCCCACAACCACACCATCTCCTATCTAGTTCAACACGGTAACATCCCCTAGACCTTCCTTCGTTATGATCAATTGACTCGACAACACTGAACCAACCTTTATTACGGTCAAAGATTGTGACTACATGTGTGTTGGCTTTGGCAGCTTCGTCTTTCATGAATGTTGTTGAACTATTATTGTACAACTGACCAGATTGTAATATTAAACTCCACTTCGTACGCCTACTATCAAAGAGTGCGTCTAGCCTAAAATATATTGCCTTTACCATGGCAGTTATCGGTAGGTTCCTGATTCCCTTGAAAATAGAATTCATTAATTCAACGAGCTTAGTTGTCATATGGCCCCATCGCACCCCATCGTCGTATGTTCGTGTCCATTTCTCTTTGTCAATATTATCAATCCATCTTAATGCATCAGTGTTTGTTAGTATGATCTCATCACAGTAGTGTTTGAATGTGGGCTCTGTTAGTGCATATCTTGCGTTCACAACCTTCTTCCTTAGTGTTTTGTCTTTGATTTTCCGCATGAAATTCTGGGCGATATGTCTTATACAATACACATGGGTCGAGGGAGGATCCTGCCAACCATTATCAAGGTTATTATATGCACTCTCGATTGATGGGTGTCTATCAGAGATCAAACATAAGTTAGGTCGGGGAGAAACGTAAAAGCGAATATTTTTTAAGAAAAAACTTCAACCTCCAGTAGTCTCCCATTTAACTATAGCGAAGGCTATTGGAAAAATATTGTTGTTCTTGTCCTTTGCCACAACCATGAATAGGGTGCCCTTATATTTCCCGTATAACCATGTGTCGTCAACTTGAATTATAGGTTTACAATATATAAACCATTTGATGCATAGTTCAAACGCTCAAAAGAGTCTGTGAAAAATTCCATTTCCACCAACGCAAGTCCCGTCTGGTGTACACGCTGGCATTGTCTCCAATATGGCAACAGCTTATGGAGAGTATTGTTTAAGAGCCACCAAGAATTTTGGAAGTCCTTGTAAGACTCTTCCCAATTTCCAAACACCCTTTCAACCGCTTTAGTCCTAGCAATCCATGCTTTTCGGTATGAAGGAGTGTAATTGTACCTTTGAACCATATGTGCAATTATGGTACTCACCTTCAAAGATGCATTGTCGCTAATGATTGATAGAATCTCATCGCAAATCAATCGAGAGTTGAGCTTGCGATGGTCCTGCATCGGATTCAAGATTATACAAGTACGGGCTAGACCCATTGACCTTATCTTCCATGAATCACTTCTCTTTCTGAAAGACGATGTTAATCAAAACGGACACACCTCGTTACAACAATAGATCATATACCGAGTCGGAGTTATCCGATTGACTCTATAATCTGTTGATAATTCCATGTGATATTGTTTAATTGCTTAGACACAATCTTCTTTGGTACGAAACTCGTCACCCTCTTTTAGTTGCCCTTCTGTTAAGTAGTTCGGGTTGTAAAAAACATCTCTTGAGGGTTCATCGTCACCTAAGTCGAGAGTTCTCATGTGTTAAGGTGAGAAATAAACATGGTTGGGTGGAACCTTCTCTTCCTCGTTATGCACCATCTCGTCAATAACGACTTCGGCTTCTTCTTCTTCTTCTTCATCAATGACATTGACTTCAGCGCGTTCCTCATCAGATTTGCAAAAAACTTGAGAAGAATTAAGTTGTTGAGACAGTTGTTGTTGTTGTAACATAACATGTAACACGATATCTGAGAAACCATAATACTCGTGATTGCGGAACATGATATGCACATCTTCGTCGTCTCGAATCTTTAATGGGAAAAATTTGCACTCATTATGCCCGCCAAAAAACACTAGATTTTTGTATATTATTTGGCCAACTAGACCACATTGCAGTTTTTTTTCTAATATTGACTTCAAGTGTAAAAATTTTGACCTTCTGTCAATTAAAAATCTCGTAACATCAGTGTTTCTGAAATTGTAACCGGCTATGTCACATTCAAAAACTTCAACGTCAAGATGTGGACTAATAATGTATTGTGGTGTTTCAGACATATCTAAAATTGTGTTTGGAGGGACTGTTTTACTAATTGAGATGATAATAATTCACATCTCTCAACTGTATTAATAACAATTTGCTGAGTTGCATGATATTACGACACACTGCGTGCCTACTGAGAGAGCTGCATGACAAGACAACGCATTGCGTGCCTACTGAGGGAGCTGCATGACAAGAAAACATTTTACGCACCACAGTGAACTGCATGACAAGAACACATTCTGGCGACCATCTGCACTCTGTCTACAGTGATCGATTTCTTGCATGCCTACCAATTCTATGAAGGCCTACGAGATTGTTACTAATAAATGTATACACATGGCTACAGTAACCGTCTATATTCTGCATGCATGACAAGACTGAACACCATATGCATGAAAAGAATAGTAACTTTAAAAATATTATGTTTACATTTATTAACCCAAT